AGCCAAAAGAAGAATGAAGACAGGGAAAGAAATTGGTTTCATATATTGTAACTATGGTCTGTATTATTACTTCTGAAATGTTTGCCCAAAAAAATAATAATAAGTATTATTACTTCTGAAATAAGATTCAAAAGATATTTCTACATATCGTATTATTTTGTATATATACCTTCATTTGAGTTTATATCGATTAAAACCCACTCTTAAAAATACCTCAAGGGATACACACAAAGGGACTATGCTTATTTTCTTCCCTTTACAATCCTTCCCATCTCCCTTTCTCCTCCATATGTATTATGCTCATAATCATGAATACAAAGTCTATTCCTTATTTGCCAAATCAACAAAAGGATTTATATATCACCCTTAATTTACTTTACATCTCCTTTGGATTGAAAATTTACACTTCTTGTTCAATGGTTTATTTGTTATTGCAACAGGACAAGGATCATTTTCTTTATTTTTCTCTCCACTACTGCATGGAGCTTAATTCTGTGTTTCAGAATGCACCACGGCACATAATTAACTTCTGTTTAGATTTTTTCGAAATAAGATGGTGTTACTTGATAAAAGATGAATTGATGCGGCACATTCTGAACCATATAGGATCAAGCATCACATAATATTGATCAGAGAGAAAAAATAATGGAGAGGATCCAAATCCTGTTGCTACAACATCGACTACTAAAAGAGTGATTTAATTGATATGCATGGAATAAAATGGCAGGTTGGAGGATATGTGGTGGAATACAAAGGGTTAACATTTGTAACAGTAAGAGGAGCTGGACATCTAGTTCCAAGCTACCAGCCTGAGGGAGCACTGCTCATGATCTCATCTTTCCTTCAAGGCTCTCCTTCCTTACCAATGAAGATCCATCTATGCTTTTATACCATGTTTGACATTACTGTATCTTCTAATAAAACGCTTTAGAAAGTCTTATTGTGCTGGTTATTGCTAACCAGCCAAGCCTGACAAAAGCCCTTCTCAATCCCAATTAAGCTTGGCTTGTGTAGGCATGCGGAAGTTCATCAATGACTTCTTTATTTAGATTTTGACTTCTAAATGAGTGATTTTTATGAAGTTTATAATGTACCAAGGATCATAGCCACCTCAAACTATTCAAAGTCCTGGTAAAGCTTAATTCAATGTGGCCTAGAGGTTAGCACTTTAAAGTGAAAAACTTGAGGCTTAAGGGGTCACTTGTTTTGCCAGCTAAGTCACAGTTCTGCTTAATTTCTCCAAACTTCAAAATGACTACCAGTATTACACTTTCATCATAAGTGAAGATCCACACTTTCCTTCTTTCTTTCATATTCTAGAAGAGAAATAGCATAAACCCCAAAAGATCACAACTGGGATAAATATACATCAAATCATATGTGTGTATATATTCCTGTTGAAATGAACAAACATGTCCACTGATAGTGCTATTATTAAACACCGTGTTCATGTTTAAGAATCCGATCGTTTTATAATTACTAAACTTATATGCTCAGTTGTGCAACATCTCCTGAATCCAAATTTAAATATGTGTGTGTTAGTGTTTTTGATAATTGATCATGCACAGAGTGACCAACCTTGAATGGTTGACAAAATGTATTACGCTTCACTCATCAACTACAGCCTACAGGGGAGAAGGCAAGAACAGTAGTGTTGGTAATGATCATATAAAATAAAGGTTTGTTTCTAGGGGGTAAAATGGTTGATACATCAACACCTGGTCTGCATAGTTCTGGCCTTTCCCTTTTAATGCCATCTCTATTATCATTCTTTAAGAATGAGCCTTGTTTTGGCCTCGCAAGTCAAACCAAGAAAAAAAGAGTACATATTCTAGCCCAACCTCAACCCAATCCCCAATTTAGATAGTAAAGGAGTATTTTTGCATCTATATAATGCTTTGCATTTGGAAACGAGTGATCATACCATTTAGACTAATGCCGGCCAATTGATTTTTATTTATTTATTTTTCAAAAAATGCTGAATTCATAACAGCCCCCATGCATTTGATGCTTACCCAAGGAATTGTATTAGAAGACTCGAGTACTATTTTGTATGACTTTATATATATCTATGTATCTTGTGGATCCAACTTGCATATTTATCCAGCAAAGCCCCAAGGAGGGGTATCACAGTGAAATTTAAGTGTGTATCTTGGATTAATCCTTTGTCTCTTCACTATTTCCAAGTATAATGCACAGTGGCATGGGAAGCCCCATAATATATATATATATATATATATATATATTGATAAAGGTTTAGGTCGAGTTTATAGGATTGGGCGTCTAAAATAAAATTTTGATGTGTAAATTATTTTTGACAACTAAATACCAAAAATATTTTACATGTAGCTAAATGTTAAGTTTGGTCTCCGCGGACAAATATATACAATAAATGCGTGTTCAGCAAAGATGCATATAAATGGGTTCTTAGATCATTTGAGATTTGATAGTGAAATCGCGTTGATTCGTGCTATGAAATGCATTGCATGAATTTCACGCTATTTAAAGGAAAGAAATACCTAGGTTGTCCTGCGAAAATCAATTTCCAGCTGCTAGGGCTTCGGATTGACTCCTGAGGAAGAAGAAGTTGACTGCGAGACTTGCCAGGGTTTGGGATCGACACTGTCGAGGAAGAAGAAGATGACCGATGTGAAAAATATAATGAAGGGAGCTATATTCGGGTCGGGTATGTTTGAGAAAATAAGGATGGGTTGCAGAGGATAATTTCTATTTAGGTTAATTACAATGACACTCTTTGAGATTTGACATACAAACGGTCATATATAACTTAACTGTTTTTTTTTAATAAAGACACCCTTGTGAAAATTTTGATCCAAACAAACCCTTAAAACTTTTGAAAAGACTAATTTGCCCTTCAAATTTTAATTCATTTTATTGTAAAAATATTAGAACTCATGACAAGTCAAATTTGCCTTTATATATACACACTATTACATCAACACCATCACACACACACACACATACATATACAACCACCGTCGCCACCCACCTATGGTCCGGCATCATCGCCACCCGCCCTCTCTCTCCACTGCAACGTCTAACTTCTTTCTCCACTTCCACAATCTCACCTCCTCTTTCCTCCACCTCTGCCACTGCCCCATCCACATCTGTCGCCACCATCTTGATCCGTCGTCGCCGCCTCTTGATTCGTCGTCGCCGCCTCACCCCAACCACATCCGCTGCCGCCATCTCCCCAACCACAGCCGTCACCGCCATCTCTTAACCACAATCACTGCCATCATCTCCCTCCTTATATCACCACCATTTCTCAATTCCATAGCCGTCGCCACCACTTCTCCTCCACCACCAATAATTGCGTGCAAGAACTCGTGAACTTAATCACAACCCAGCTATCGAATGGCTATAATCTCTTCTCCAACGCCATCGACACGCCGACTTCTGGTATAGATCCTTGACGCTGCTGCATTCACCTTCTTCTCTCCTTGTGACACCTACAACACACACACACACACACACACACACACACACACACACACACACACTCATAACCCCAGTCGACACCGGAATCACATCGCTGTTGCTAGCCACCTTCACCGAAGTTCAATCTCATCACTTTGGTCGTCACCGTTGCCGGAGCCCAAAAGAAAGACTTGAAGAAGTTCCAAGCAAACTAATCTTCTCTCATCTCGACTGCTCTCATCAACTGTGAATGTTTCCATCAAAATTTTGAAGCCAAAGGTTGTGGGTGTCTTAACAGCAATCTTTTTGCCCTCGCCGGTGGCATAGGTGGCAAAAATTCTGAAATTGGGTTTCGGGTTTGGGGGGTTGTTTGGATTGTGAGTTTGTTAACAGAGGAGGAGATAAGATGAATGATATAGAGTGAACCCAATTGAAGCAATAAAAAGCTTTCGGTGAGATTGAGCTATATACATAAAGGGCTATGGTAGGGCAGTGAAATGGTGGTGGTGGGTGTGGAACTAGTCGTGGTGGTTGTGGTGGCTGTTGGTTTGGTTTTTGGTTTATTAGTATGAGTAGGGTTAGTAGGGTATTTTGGTCAATAATAAATAATGGTATTGGATAAATTGGTAATTGAATGTGTCAAAGAACAATAATGTCAATTTACCATGTGAAAGGACCATTGGGGTATCTTTGTTAACTTTAGCCCAACTTATATATAACTGTCATTATAACAAATCTTAAGGAATGTCATTCTAATTAACCCTTTTGTTTAAAAGGACATTTTAATTGAAATTATCCATGATTGAAAACCATCGCAGCTACACTATTTGCCCCGACCATTCGGAGCCGCAGTCCTCGCCGTTGACAGCTTCGCTTTGCCGGCGAATCGTTTGGTCCAACACTCGGCACAAGTGGGCTGGTCGGAATTTCATATACATATATGTATGTGTTTGCATATATTTTATCATAATGCTGCAATCTACATATTTGATTGACCTTCCAATCCACCCAGACCTTACAGAATGTGAGACTCGAACCAGTTGCGAAATGATCATTAATGCTTCTGATTTTGATTAGGTTTTTTTTGTTTTTGTTTTTTTTTTTTTAAATTTAGAATTAATATACATATATATAACTAGTAAGGTAAATAATGAAAAATTGCATGTTCTATCAGTGTATTTTTCCCTATCTATAAAGGAGGGAAGTCCTGGTATAATCTCTCCTGGTGATGGGTTCCAAGTCTCATCATGAGCATTTGTGGGTTTGTGATTATTTACCTAAACAATATATATATATATTTATAGTACAATGGAGTTTTATGATTTTAACCCTATAATTAATTGTGATTGTCATTTTGCAGCCGAGGAAAGGAACACATAAACCCATATGCTTCATTTGATAGTATTAGATGATCTTGTGTAGCAACAAAAGTGTAATAAAACAAACATGGTACAATGTATTCATAGAAATAAACTTCAAAGAAGTAAACTAATAATATAGCTGGCCGATTGACTTTTTGGATTAATTGTACTAGATTAGCTGTTAACAGTTTTCAAATACAGAAATTTTCTTAATGTTACCGTCCTTTTTAACTGTACAACACGTTGCCTATTTTATGAACACTATCACACATGAATGCTAAGCAGCAAGAATATGATAAAGCTTACAGGCCTCACTTTGGTGTCCTTGGCTTTCTGCTTTTTGGCCTTCCTTGGCTCAAGTAATGCCAGTCAGGCCACAAACCTTCGCAGGTTCATCAAGTCTAGAAGGTCACAAAACCCCCCTGTTTCAGATTCTTGGGCAGAATTACATGCCACAGAAGACTACTCTGATGTGTACCTTGGTCCCCAAGATGGGTTGATGCAAGCTGATAAGATTGACGCTTTGCCGGGGCAACCAGATGGCATAGATTTTGATCAGTACGCAGGGTATGTCACAGTTGATCCACATGCTGGCAGAGCACTGTTCTATTACTTTGTTGAGTCCCCACAAAATTCTTCTACCAATCCTTTGGTTTTATGGCTAAATGGAGGTACTAGACCAGAATGACTGTCCAAAAGTATTCTCACATTCACTGTTGTTGAACATAACTATCTTCATTTCAAATGCTTTATGAAGTTGAAAATTGAATCCTTTACAACCATAGTGACTAATTCTTTGATAGTGCATTAATCAACTTAAGTACATGTGCCTGTGTGAGTGATCAAACCTTAAATTTTATAACCATCATAATAATCATCATGATCCCGTTTACCTGATTTGAAACAACAGGGCCAGGATGTTCCTCTTTTGGGGCTGGAGCCATGTTGGAATTGGGGCCTTTCAGAGTCAATTCCGATGGCAAAACACTCTATCAAAATAACTATGCATGGAACAATGGTGAGTCCATTTGATTACCAATTCATCATATTTCTTTTTCTTTTTTCTTGTCTATCTTGCTGAGCCATACTTTGTGATTTCCATTCAAAACCTGAAGTGGCAAATGTGCTTTTCTTGGAGTCTCCGGCTGGGGTGGGCTTTTCGTATTCAAATACTTCTTCCGATTATGATCACACTGGCGACAAGAGTACTGCCAAAGATGCGTACACCTTTCTTATCAACTGGCTTGAGAGGTTCTCACAGTATAAAACTCGGGACTTTTACATAGCCGGAGAAAGCTATGCCGGTCATTATGTGCCTCAGCTTGCATACACCATCATGCAAAATAACTGGAAGGCAAAAACAGTCATCAACCTCAAAGGCATTGCTGTACGTTTAATACTAGTCAACCTCTAATTTTAGTATCTCCATCTCTCTCTAAATTTAAAGATTTCTACTCTCTCATGGCTATGTATCCTTCAGATGGGAAATGCAGTGATCAATGATGCTACGGATGCGAAGGGGTCCTATGATTATTTATGGACTCATGCCTTAAACTCAGATGAAACACATGAAGACATCAACACATTTTGCGATTTTCGGAATGGAACTTTATCTGCAAAGTGTGACAGCTTGATAGAAAAGTCCATAGAAGAGATGGGTGATATCGATGATTACAACATCTACGCTCCACTCTGCGACGCACCCATGCTAAAAAATGGCTCTGTAAGTTCCTCATTCACAATTCTTTCTTCAAGTCTTAGTGACATGTGTATGCAGAGTTTTACCATAATTCATTGTCTGCAATTATAGGAACTCTCATAAAATCCTGACTAGAACAATACTGATGAGACAAAAAAAAAAAACAGGTCGACGATTTTGATCCGTGCTCATCAATGTATCGAGACTCATATTTGAACAATGCAGAGGTGCAAAAGGCTCTCCATGCAAATCCTACGAGTTGGAGAAGTTGCAGGTAGTTGGGTTTTAGCTAGTAACTGCCTAACTGGTATTGAAAACCAATCATTAACCACATAGTATACTCTAATTTTGACGATTTTTGCAGAGATTATAATTGGACTGACAGCCCAAGAACCGTTATACCCATCATCAAGGATTTCATTGTAAATGGATTAAGAGTCTGGCAGTACAGGCAAGCAAGCTGAACTTCATCATAATCTAACATTTACAATCTGAGAAGTTTCCAAGTTCAAAGTCATATGGTTTGGCACCATTGAACTAGTCCTATAGACTTTGGATGAATTCACTGATTTGGTCCTGAGTAGGGGTGCATAGGGATCCATTCTAACGGTCAATCCAATCCAAGCCATATACAGTTTGAATTAGTTTTGGGAGGCAATTGTTCTATCCTGGTTACACAAATTGTGAGACTGTTAGAATCAGTTTAGTTTTGCTGTTTAAAAACCAAAAAAGATGAACCAATCCTTATTCAAACATGATATTGCTAGTTTCTTTTATTTGATTGGTTAGCAACACCTTGAACGACTCCATTCATATAAGATTAAGGCAATGATTGCACCATAGCAAATCAATGTTATATATATATATATTCCTGCTCTTTACACTAAAACGATACAATCATTCTTCAATTCAACCTTCATCAATCTGTTATTATTTATAGTTCTTGCCATTTTATTCTTCGTTGTTTATTATAAATGGTGTTGTTTCAAGCAATTTCTCTGATATTTTCCCTTTTATTTAGTTCTGGTTTCGTTATTGATAATCTTCTCTTTATATGGAAATAAATATGTGTATCTAATTATGTATGATAAATTTGACTGGTTTACCTTTGTCCTAGTGGATTTGGGACTAAACTACCAAGCTCTAGGTCAAGGTTTCGAGACCAGTAGAGAGAAGAATGGAAAAAATGTATGATAAATTTGCATGTAGATTTACTAGTTCACAAAAACAAACCATTCTCACATGGTTTGGAATGGTTCGTTAGGTAGTTCCATCCGTTTGTTTCGATTCCAAAATTCATGAAACTATTACCCCAAAACTGAGATAAGGTCTAGTTAATCAGAGTGCAGTATGAAGATGATTTACCTGAAGGATATTGTTGCTGTTGCAGTGGTGACATAGATTCAGTTGTTCCAGTTACATCAACCAGGTACTCAATAAGCAGTCTCAAGCTTCCAATCGAGACGGCTTGGCGTCCATGGTACACCAACAATGAGGTAAAATACACACACATAAATCTAAATTCATTTTCCTTTAGATAGTCTTGCACTATACTTCTATATCATTTGTGATGCTAAAAGTTGCTATACTATAAGTGAGACAATTTTGCAATGTGTCCTGAATGCATATCAATATATGGTAGCAATTGAGATAGCTTGTGATGTTTCTGTAGTTCCCTTTTACGTTTTGCAACTTTTAATACATGGAAGCAATGGGGTATTAACCCAGCTCGTTTAACCTCTTCTCCATCAAGGGGACGTGAGGGGTTTAAGCCCCATAGTGGGCATTTGTGTGTGTGAGTCTTTACTTAACCAAAAACAAAATGTTGAGTGTTAACAAACTTTTAATGCTGTGAGAGGTAATATCTTGGTCCTACATGGTGTGAGTTGCGTTATGCGGAATGGTTGTGGAAGTTTGATGTAAAAATAACCTAGAGAGGGTAAATAGCTTTTGCCTGCTCCCTTATCTAATTTTTGCTTATTTTAATTTTACCGAAATAAAACTATCATCAACGCACAAAGCAAAATAAAGTGGAAGTAAAGAAGTAAAATTTGAGAGATGAAAATAAGGATTTTTAGCGTGGAAACCCATGTTGGAAGAAATATGACCAACCGAGATGAAAATCACGGAGGCTTTCGCAGTCTCGAGCGAAACAATCCACTATCTTTGAAGCAAAGTACAACAAAATCTGACTCAGGCTCACACCCACTCCGCTCTACCAAGAGAACTAACTGATGAACGTCTCTTTAGCTTTGCAACTCCTGACCAAACGCTCTAGACTTCAGGCTTACTCCTTTAATCCTTGTAGAAAGGTTGCTGGTAGATCACGAACACTACGTGAATGCTCTGTCCCCTTTGTAGCACAATCGAATCGTTCTTCCTTCAAATTCTGAATTGGAGAAGGTAAAATAAAAACCTTGCTTTGCTGTTCGGAATCTCTATGAATCTTCAATTACTCAGACTCCGATCAGAGAAAGAACTTCTCCCTAAATCACGCTCGTTTTTAAGTGTGTGCTCTCAAAAATATAAAATCGGATTTCTCTGAAAATCTCTCTTAAAAAGCGCCAGCAATGATAAAAAAAAATAACTTTATGTTTTTCCTAATTGAAGCATCAAAATTCCCCATTAGTGCTGGAGGTTTGAGAGGTTTATACAGACTAGAGAGTCCTCAAAATTTATGGAAAGTTATTTTAAAATTGTACAAGTATTTCTCTAATGTTGCTTTTGGTGTGTAGGAATAGAATGGAATGGAATGTCCATTCCAACCATTGGAATGAAAATTCATTCCTGGAAACTAATTTTTTTTAAAAAATCAACTTCTCAAAAAACCCTCACGTTCCAAGTCTAAAAACCACCACTACCTTCCACCACAACCACCTCCACCTTTCACCACCACCAACACTACCACCGCCTTCCACCATCATCACCACCACCGACTTTTACCATCGCCCACCGCTTTCTATCACCACCACATACCGCCACCGCCTTCCACCACTACCACCACCATTGCCTTTCACCACCGCCACCACTTTCCACCACCACCACTACCACCGCCATCACTACCACCTTCCACCACTACCACCACCACCGCCGCCACCACCACCACCACCGCCACCACCACTGCCACCGCCTTTCACCACCTCTATCACCTTCCACTACTGCCTTCCATTGCCATTGCCTTTCACCGCCACCGCCTTATACCACCAACATCGCCTTCCACTACCACCACCGCCTCTACTCCACCACCGCCACCGCCACCGCCACCACCTTCCTTCACCACCACTATCACCGCCACCGCCTTCCACCACCATCGCCTTCCACCACCACCACCGTCACCACCACCACCACCACCTCCACTCCCTTTCACCACCACCACAATCAGTTCCATTGGCTTCCACCACCACTATCTACACCACTATATCGTTCCACCACCACCACCACCACACTACTGCTACCGCCTTTCACCAACACTACTACCGCCGCCTTCCACCATTGCCACCACCACCGCCTTCCAACACCACCTACACTACTACCGCTTTCCTCCTCCACCACCATCCACCACCGCCACTGCCACTGCCACCATTTATTTTTAAAAAAATTATTAGAGAATATCATTTTGTTAATTTAATTTATTTGTTACTAAGAGGTATATTTTGGAGAATTCAATTTAAAATTTATTCCATTCTAAATTTTAAATTGGTCCAACCAAACACTAGAATGATTATTATCATTCAATTCCTACACATTTTATATTTACAACTAAACAGTAGAATGAGAATGACCATTCCATTCCATTCCATTCCTGCACACCAAATGCAGCATAAGAGTTTTGGTGCAATCAAGAAACTAAGAAGTTACCAAAAATTTAAATCCCGCACATTTAGGCAAGTGCAGTCGGTGTTTGGAAAAGCAACTGGTTTTACTTTAACCGAGACGTACTACTTCTGACTACTTATGATATTTCAACTTTTTCAACCGGTTGCGTTTGGAAGTTCACCCAGTTGCACTTTGCAGACTTGGAAAAATCCTCTCAGCAAAAGTTCAACCTGTTGCATTTGGAAGTTCAACCTGTTGGACTTTTTCAGATTTTGAATTTTTGTAAAAAATAAACATTTTTCGTAAGTCCTTCCACACCAAACATGAAATATAAAGTGTCCTCACTATCATACATTTTCTAATTGATTTTCTCATCAAATCGAAGTATGCGTACGCTTGTTGTTCCGCTTCCGACATTGAGACTCAAAAAGTAAATAGAAAATTACAACTTGATTAGACCCATTTTGACACCAAAATTTATATCTCACACATGGTTCATTTTTCATTTTTTTTTTTTTTTTTTTGGAGGAAAAAAAAAAAAAAAAAAAACCCCAAAAAAAGAAGAAGAAGTTGTTTTATGAAAGTTGAGTTAAAAAAATTCTAATTTTAAAGGAACAATTACTTTTTTTTTTTCTTGTCAAATAACTTAACAAAACAGAAACTTACGTTTGTAAGGAGGGAAGGAAGGGGGATGGAGGGAGTCTATCATTTGGTACATGAGAAAGTTGGAAGAAAGGGAAGTAAGGATGGATGGATGAAGCATCCCTCGTGACCCACCATTTTGCATCCCTCCAAAATTCAAGGGAAGAGAGGAGGGAAGAGAAGAATAAGTATGTTATATTATGTAAAGTGACATACCTTCATTAGTTTTTTGTAAAATTATAATGAGGGTATAGTGGTAAAAGAATATGAAACCCCTCCTTCCTTTCCTTCTTACCAAACAAAGGAAGGTGTCACTCTCTCTCCTCATCCTTTCCACTCAACCAGACAACAAGGGAGAAGGAAACCTTTCCTTTCGGATGTCTGAACCCTCCCTTCCATTCATTTTTTCATCCTTCATACCAAACGAAGCAATTTGTGACCAGGTCCGGTAAGACAGCAGATATTTTGGGTGGTAGTAAAAACGGGAATCACCATGTCATACTGAAAATGACAGAAATCGGTAGAAATGAACCAAAAGAAGAATGAAGTTTGGGAAAGGAATTGGTTTTATATGTTATAACTATGTTCTGTATCATTACTTCAGAAATAAGGTTGAAAATATTTTTCTATATCTCTTATACTTTTATATATGTGTCATTTGATTTTATACAGACTAAAACCTACTCTTTATAATACCTCAAGGGAAACACACCAAAGGATCATGTTATGATTATTTTCTTCCCTTTACAATCCTTCTCATCTCCCTTCTCCTCCGTATATATTATTCTCATAATCATTATTACAAAGTCTATTCTTTAATTGTCAAACCAACAAAGGGTTTTATATCTCACCATTGAAATTTACTTTAGATTTCCAAAATTTCCTTTCAATTGGAAATTTACACTTCTCCTTCAATGGTTTATTTGTTGTTGCTACTATATTCTGCAACTAAGAGAGTGACTTGACTGATATGATATGCATGGAATATAATGGCAGGTTGGAGGATATGTGGTGGAATACAAAGGGTTAACATTTGCAACAGTAAGAGGATCTGGACATCTAGTTCCAAGCTACCAGCCTGAGAGAGCACTGATCATGATCTCATCATTCCTTCAAGGGTCTCTCCCTCGTTCCTCATGAAGATCCATCTATATTTGTACCATGTTTGGCATTACTCTAACTTCTAATAAAACGCTTTAGAAAGTCATATTGTGGTGGTTATTGCTAACCAGCCAAGCCTGACAAATGCTCTGCTCAGTCCCACTTAAATTTCGCTCGTGTAGGCGCGTGCCAGTTTGTCAAGAGCCACAAACTGTTCAAAGTGGCAGTTGATCCTAGCCACCACAAACTGTTCAAAGTCCGAGTAATGCTTAATTCAATGTTGCTTGCTAGAGCTTCGCACTTTCACTTGTTTTGCTAGCTAAGCCACAGTTGTGTGAAATGTCTCCAAACTTCCAACACTTCTACCTCAAAATGACTACTAGTATTAGACTTTCACATCAAGTGTGTGTATATTCCTGTTGTAATGAACAAACAAGTCCCCTGATGGTGCTATTTAAGGCCATACATTATACAATTTCTCAATTAGTCCTGCCAATACAGAATAGATTGAAGGAAGCATATTTTGAGTTTGACATTGTTTACACAAAATGACTATTATCATATGTTTAACACAGTGTTCGCGTTTAACAATCTGATCGTTTTATAATTACACCAAACAATCTTTTGAATCCAAAGTTAAATGTGTGTGTGGCAATTGGTCATGCAAAGAGTGCCCAACCTTGAACTCTTGACAAAATGTACTAGGCACAATCCATCAAGCACAGCAGTGTGGGTAGAGATCAGATAAAATCAAGTTATGTCTGGGGGGTAAAATGGTACATCAACACCTGGTCCGCAAAATTTTGGCCTGGTTTTGGCCTTGCCTTAATGCCATTGATTTTATCATTCTTCAAGAATGAACCTTGTTTTAGCCTCACGAGTCAAACCAAGGAAAAAAAAAAAAAAAAAAAAAAAAAAAAAAAAAAAAAAAAAAGGAGAAGAAGGAACACTTACTAGTACTACACAAGCCTATAATTTTTGCCCCCACACACTTGTATTCCCCAATTTAGATACTATTTATGTAATGATTTACCTAAGTGGTTTAAAATTTTCTTTGATTCAATGGGCTAATCTAATAAATTGTGGACCTATTTTTATTGTATACCTAGTGTTGAACATTGTTTGCTCTTAATACATTTAGGAAATTTTCTTTTTTGAAAAACATAAAAAGAAATAGCATAAAAACAATAATTAAAACTTTGATATGAGATTAAAAGGACTCGTGTGACTTAAGAATGGATGTGAATAAGTATGTCCACAACTTAAGAATTAGCTTACGAGGATATCGTCTTTATAGGTTGTAAACTATTGTGTGTAAATGGGTATATTCCAACAAAGTTTTTTTTAATTAAACCTCTAATATATTATTAAGGGTTAAATTAACAACACTTTCCACATTATAGGTTTGTCATATAACTACCTGAAAGATTATATAAACTATGAACATGAAATTACCATTATACCATACTTTAAAAGAAAACAAAATTTTCAATAAACACATCCAAACTAACTATTTCTTAATCAAGGGTTGTAGATTAGTGGTATCTTCTTCTTCTTTTTTATTTTTAATTTTTTTTAATTTTTAAATTAGTGACATCTCTTTTACCTTCTAAAATTGAAGGTCGAGAGTTAAAACGTAACGATTCAAATTCGGGAATCTAGATCACTAATCGGGTCCTAAATCAACCCGGAGACACCTAAAGGTAAAATGGTCATTTCATCCCAACTACGCATAATGAGTCATGCCAAGGTCACAATAGTCATTGGATCATATGAGTAACTTATCTCGAAGTTCGGTTGCATTTCGGGTTCCTTTGGTTAATAGAGGTAAAATGGTCCTTTCGTGTAAAAAATATGGGCGAAACTTATGCTGTGTGAAAAACTTAATTATAAAAAAGCCCACAAATATGAAAATATTTTTTGTTTTTTTTAATTATTGAGAACTGTTTTTAGAATTACAAGTCAAATAAAAAAATTTTGAGATCAATAAATCCTACTTATAAAATTTATTTTCATTTAAGTCCTAAATTAGTAAATCTTTCTATATAAATTTTCATATATATACCCATTAGACATTAAAATTAAATAAAAAGGAAAAGAAACATTTTATTGATTTTTTATAGAATAATTTATTTTTGTAGTGTTAAAATCATGTATGAAACATGAGTTCACGAAAAATGATGGCTTTGGGGTTTGAAAATTTGACTGGTTAGGAGCTTATGCGGTTCATGGATAATTCAAAACCATTGCAGGTACACAATTTCCCCGGAACAATATCCAGCGACGGAGCAACTGTCCGACAAAAGAACACTAGAAGCACAGCCGGAAAAAGGTACATCCTACGGATGCATATGTGTTTATATGTGTGTGTATATATACACATTTTAGTTGCTTACTGTAATAAAACTGAAACTTCATCCTCATCCTATTAGGCTTGATCCGGAATCTACCTATTTGATTGTCCTTCTAATCCCCACTAGGGCAAATTTTTTTTATTTTTATTTTTACAAGAATCTACCCACCTGCTAGTATCAAAGGTTTTTAGTCCAATGGTATAACATCTCCATTCTCAAAGAACCTACCTGCTAATCACTTTGGAGTAGAGGAGTACCCTTACCAACCGAGCTGTCCCGGGAATGATAATTAATTTTTATGGATTTAATTAATTTAACTAATAAGATGAATATTGTAAAATCACATGTTCTGTCAACGGACTTGATAATTTTTCAGAAACTCAGGGGAGGGTCTGTGTATTTATTTCCCTATTTAGATGGGAGGTAAGTGCCTAGCTTGTATAATCTCTCCTTCCTCTGAAGGGAGGTGAGGGATTGGAGCTCCATAGTGGGGTTTGGTGTGTGAATATATGCCCTAACAAATATATATATATATATATATATATATATATATATATATATAAATTGTGATATATATTACAAGGGGATTTTGTGATTTTTAACCTTATAATTAATTGTGATATTCTTAGATGGTCTTGTCTAGAAACAAAAGTAATAAACCAAGAATGTTACAATATATTTATATACAAACTTATAATACACTGCAATTAAGCACCATATAAACTATAGCCGGCCAGTTTGAATTTTTCGTCTAATTGTACCAGTTATAGCTGTTAACAGCTTCTACACGAGGTTCCCAAAGACCCCAAAATCACCAAAGGACAAAGAAAGAAAATTTCTTAATATTATCGTCCTTATTAACTATATATCAAATTGCCTCTTTTTATGAACACTAGCATATGCATGCTAAGCAGCAAGAATATGATCAAACTTACAGGCCTCACTTTGGTGCCCTTCACTTTCTGCCTTTTGGTGTTCCTTAGTTCAAGTCATGCCAGTCAGGTCACAAACCTTCAAAGGTTCATCAAGTCCAGAAGATCACAAAACCCCCCTGTTTCAGATCCTTGGGCAAAATTACATGCCACAGAAGAGTACTCTGATGTGTACATTGGTCCCCAAGATGGGTTGATGCAAGCTGACAAGATCGACGCTTTGCCGGGGCAACCAGATGGTGTAAATTTTGATCAGTATGCAGGGTATGTCACAGTTGATCCACAGGCTGGCAGAACACTGTTCTATTACTTTGTTGAGTCCCCACAAAATTCTTCTACCAATCCTTTGGTTCTATGGCTAAATGGAGGTACTAAACCAAAATGACTATCCACAAGCATTCTCATATTCACTTTTATTGGACATAACTATCTACATACTGCTTTATGAATTTGAAATTTTCACCCTTTACAACCATAGTGACACTAATTCAATTCTATTGCATTAATCAACTTAAGTACATGTGCCTCTGTGAGCGAGCAAACCTTAAATTTAACAACCATCATGATCCCATTTGCCTAATTTGGAACAACAGGACCAGGATGTTCCTCTTTGGGTGGAGCCATGTTGGAATTGGGGCCTTTCAGAGTCAATTCCGATGGGAAAACTCTCTATCAAAATAACTATGCATGGAACAATGGTGAGTCCATTCGACCACCAACTCATCGTTTTTCTTTTCCTTTTTAATTTTTCTATCTGATCAAACCATACTTTGTGATTTCCGTTGAAAATCTGAAGTGGCAAATGTGATTTTCTTGGAGTCTCCGGCTGGGGTGGGCTTTTCCTATTCAAATACATCGGCTGATTATGATCACACCGGCGACAAGAGTACTGCCAAAGATTCCTACACCTTTCTCATCAACTGGCTTGAGAGGTTCCCGCAGTATAAAAATAGTGACTTTTACATAACCGGAGAAAGCTATGCCGGTCATTACGTGCCTCAGCTCACATACACCATTCTGCAAAATAACAGGAATGCAAAGACCATCATTAACCTCAAAGGAATTGCTGTAGGTTTAATACTAATCCACCTTCAAATTTATTTTCTCCATCTCGCTCTAAGCTGAAAGATTTCTACTCTCTCATGGCCATATATCCTTCAGATAGGAAATGCAGTGATCAATGATCCTACCGATACAAAGGGGTCCTATGATTATTTATGGACGCATGCCTTAAACTCGGATGAAACATATGAAGGCATCAACACGTTTTGCGATTTTTTGAATGGAACTTCATCTGCAAATTGTGACTTCTTCATAGAAAAATCCCAAGAAGAGATTGGTGCTCTCGATATTTACAACATCTACGCGCCATACTGCAAAAAACCCACGCTAAATGGCTCCGTAAGTCCCTCATTCACAATTCTTTCTTCAGGTCTTACAGAACATTTGTATGCAGAGTTTTACCTTAACTCATATATGTAATTATAGAAATTCTCATAAAATCCTACCTAGAACAATACTAATGAGACGCACAAATAACCAGGTCAATGTTTTTGATCCGTGCTCGCCCTCGTATGTCATATCATATTTGAACACTGCAGAGGTGCAAAAAGCTCTCCATGCAAATCCTATGAGTTGGATTGGTTGCAGGTAGTTGGGTTTTAGCTAGTAACTGCTATTGGGAATAGATCACATATTAGTAACAACATACTATACTATAATTTTGACAATTTTTGCAGAGATTATAATTGGACTGACAGCCCAAGAACCGTTCTACCCCTCATCAAGGATTTCATTGTAAATGGAATAAGAGTCTTGCAATACAGGTAAGCGATTTTATTTTACTTATTTTTATTTTTCACTGACAAGAAACATACTCAACATACACTTTTTGCTCACACCCAGGCTCGAATCCCCTCCTCTTTGAGGATGGGGAGGTTATATGTAACGATCCCAAAACTAATACCTTTTAAACACAAAAAAAAAAAAAAAATTTTGGCATGACCTCCCCTAAAAATAGGCCTACCATACTCTATTTAAATTCATTTTTAACCTATCATGGCTCAAATTCCGAATTCACGGCAATAGTAGATGATGATACACAATCGAATGACCTCAATAATACTTCAAACTAGTATTACTCTCCCCATTCATCAATAAGGTTTACATGTTATCAAATTCACATCCAAAATATCATCAAATACCTTAATTACATTACATGACAAAGTTTTTGCAAAATATACATATACACCTTCACACTTTTAGTGCTTTGCAAAAATAATGGGAGATATACAAAAGACACAAAAGTGAGCTTCTAGTATCGCTCAAGCTTGAGGTGGGTTGTCGTCCACCGGTTCTTTTCCAAGACCTGAAAAAAATGTATAAATTGTAGGGTGAGCTATATGCTCAGTAGGTGTCAGTAGGGATCATACAACGTAGGGGATCAAATACAACATACAATTCAATTCCAATTATAAACAATGCAATGCAGTGCAATGAAATGCAATGCATGTCAATGACACTCCCCATTTTCATTCTCAAAACCATCACTTTCAAACGTTAATACAGCCCGCCCTTTGGTAACCCCGCCGCGACACGAGAGGAGGATTGGCTAGTGTCCCTGACCCTTGGTAACCCCGCGGCGTCATTATGGGGCCCAGCTAGCTCAACCACACTAGGGCGACTCCCTAGTCCCCTCTAGGCTATATTAACCTCCGGCCCGTTGGTAACCCCGCAGCGACCGGGTTTCGCATAAAACCATTTCATCAAAAACACTTTCCCGAAATTTCCCCTTTTTAAAGTAAATAAAATCTTTCCCTTTTCCTGCCCAATGTTAATGCATGAATACCTCAATGACATACACAAGTTCATCATTCCATACTTTATCCAATTTAAGCAATATGGCATAATTCGCAAGAATAATCAAGAAAGTCATAACATGCTTATACATAACAAGTTCTAGCACAATGAACATATATAATCAAGTCTTAAACATGCTTCACATAGAACAATCAACAAATATAGTCACACAACTAACATATATGCATACATATCAACAATTCTCTAGATTTTAAACAACTAATCAAATTAAACAACAATTAGATGCAATTAGCTCACTAAGGTACAAGATTTCATGAATTATGGTCCCCTACCTCAAGATTGCACCAAAACCCTAGAAAATGGGTCTCAAGATTCGAAATCCAAAGGGGCACAAAATCTAAAATTGCTTGTATGGATGTGTAGAGTTTGACACGAGCTTCGTTTTGCCTCAAACGGCACTTCAATCCGACAAAAGGTGGAGGAGTAATCTAAGAATGAAGTTTGAGTTCAAAAAGAAAAAGAAAAATCAAGAAATAGAGACAGAAGGAAGGGCCAGCGGGAGAGAAGAAAAATGGAGACCAATTGTGGTCTCAAACCCTTTTTGGGTGTGGTGGTGGGTCCCACGAAAATTTTAATTTGTTTTCTCTTTTTCTTTTACTCAATATACATCACACAATGCACATATACTTACATAGACATCACATTCTCCCCAACTTTAAAAAGATTTCGTCCTCGAAATCAAGACATACCTGAGGAAGAAAACAACGCTGGGTACTTGGACCGAACCTCCTGTTCGAGCTCCCAAGTAGCCTCCTCGACTCCGTGGTGTCTCCAAAGGACTTTCACCATTGGTATCGTCTTGTTCCTCAACACCCTCTGCTGAGTGTCAAGGATCTGAACTGGTCCTTCCTCGTAGGAAACATCCTCATCAATATCCACATCAACCGAACTCAATATGTGAGATGGATCCGGCTCGTACTTTCGTAACATTGATACATGAAAGACATTGTGAACTCTGTCCATCTGTGGTGGTAAAGCAAGTCTGTAGGCAACCTCTCCTACCCGATCCAAAATCTCGAATGGTCCAATAAATCGTGGCGATAACTTGCCACTCTTCCCAAATCTCATCAATCCCTTCCGTGGAGAAACCCGTAGAAAAACGTGGTCTCCTACCTCAAAGGATAACGGTCATCTCCGCTTATCCGCATAGCTCTTCTGTCGGCTCTGAGCTGTAAGTAACCTCTGTCTTATCAACTTAATCTTCTCAGTAGTCTCGAGTACAATGTCGGGTCCTAAGGCGGCTGCCTCGCCTACCTCAGTCTAACAAACAGGAGACCTACAAGGTCTACCATACAACGCCTCAAATGGAGCCATCTGGATGCTCGCCTGATAATTGTTGTTGTAGGCAAACTCAATAAGTGGAAGGTGATCCTCCCAACTACCTCCCAAATCAAGTACACATGCCCGAAGCATATCCTCTAAAATCTGGATAGTAAGCTCTAACTAACCGTCTGTCTGTGGATGGAATGCCGTACTAAGATGCAACGCTGAACCAAACGCTGCTTGAAGTCCTTCTCAGAACTTCGAAGTGAACTTAGCATCCCTATCTGACACAATGGTTGCAGGAACTCCATGTAACCTTACAATCTCCTTCACATAAAGAACACCAAGCTTCTTTGCATCATCTGTTGCCTTAATTGGCAAAAAGTGAGCCGTCTTGGTCAATCTGTCAATGATGACCCATACGGCCTCATTGCCCCTCCTTGACCTTGGAAAACCTGTCACAAAATCCATAGCAATATGCTCCCATTTCCATTGCGCTACAGGTAATGGTTGCAACAAACCTGCTGGCCTCTGATGCTCGGCCTTCACCTGCTGACAGGTAAGGCATCTAGCCACAAACTGTGCAACATCATTCTTCATCCCGCTCCACTAATACTGACGTCTCAAATTGTGATACATTTTAGTATCACCTGGATGAACTGCAAAGCGGGAAGTGTGAAACTCCCGTAGGACGTCCTCACAACAACATGTGGGAACCACCAACAAACCCCTGAACCGTAGACCCCCATCTGCATGCAAGGCCCAATCTTTCACTGTCTCACCACTAGAGATCAAAGCGTGGATGGCATCTAAGTCCGGGTCCTGTCTCTGTGACTCAATCACTCGTACAACAAGAGTAGGCTGAGCCACAAGACTAAACAAGAATGCTGGCTCACTGTCAACATCGTCATCAAAACACTGTAATCCCATCTCTGCCAGGTCTTCAAGCATCTTCCACTTCCGAATAGCTAAACTGGCCAAAGTTCTACGAGATTTCCGGCTTAAGGCATCCGCTACCACATTCGCCTTGCCCGGATGATACTGCAAGTCAAAATTGTAGTCCTCCAAGAATTCGACCCATCGCCTCTGTCTGTTGTTCAAGTCCTTTTGGGGGAAAAGGTACTTGAGACTTTTGTGATCTGAAAATACCTCGAATCTCTCATCATACAAGTAATGTCTCAAACACTTCAAGGCAAATACAACTGTCGCTAACTCCAGGTCATGAGTAGGGTAGTTGTACTCGTGAGTCTTCAACTGTCGAGACCCATAAGCCACTACTTTACCATCCTGCATCAACACACATCCCAACCCGTCACGTGAAGCATCACAATAGATCACATAACCCAAGCCACGCTCAGGTATCACCAACACTGGTGCTGTAGTCAATCTCGTCTTCAACTCCTGAAAAGATGAATCACAGGCCTCATTCCAGACAAACTTGATCTCTTTCCGGGTCAAACGGGTCATAGGAGCTGCCAAACGGGAGAAATCCTTCACAAATCTCCGATAGTAACCCGCTAAACCAAGGAAACTGCGGATCTCAAATACATTCTTGGGTCGCTCCCAAGTCAAAACTGCTTCAACCTTTGATGGATCAACTGATACTCCACCTTCTGAAACAACATGCCCCAAAAACTTCACCTCCTGTAGCCAAAACTCACATTTCTCGTATTTGGCATACAATCGGTGCTCCCGCAAAATCTGTAAAACAATACTCAAATGGACCTCGTGATCTTCCCGAGTCCGTGAGTACACAAGAATGTCATCCACGAAAACTACCACAAACTGGTCCAAGTAATCGTGAAAGACGCGGTTCATCAAATCCATGAATGCCGCTGGCGTATTAGTCAAACCAAAAGGCATAACAAGGAACTCATAGTGTCCATACCGTTTACGGAATGCTGTTTTCGGGATATCCTCATCCCTAACCCGCAACTGATAATAGCCAGACCTCAAGTCAATCTTCGAGAAACAACTGGCTCCCCTCAACTGATCAAATAAATCATCTATCCTTGACAAAGGATACTTGTTCTTGATGGTGGCATGATTCAACTTCCGATAATCAATGCACAACCTCAACGATCCATCTTTCTTCTTAACAAATAAGACCGGTGCGCCCCACGGTGACACACTCGGTCGGATGAAACCTTTCATCCTCAAATCATCAAGCTGCCTCTTCAATTCTTCCAATTCAACTGGGGCCATTCGATATGGTGCCATAGAAATCGGCGCGGTACCTGGCATCAAATCAATAGAGAACTCCACTCCTCGGGGTGGAGGCAACTCTGTCAAATCCTCCGGAAACACGTCCAGAAAATCACAAACAACCACAGGATAATCCTCTTTCCCAACATCATCTTCTTCGGCTATAAGGCTAGCCAAGAAGTAATCACTATGACTTCGTCCACGAACTCCATAAAACAATGAAATGTGGGAATCACTCCAATCTCCCACGAAAAAGAAACGGTCTCCCTCGGAAGTGCAAACTGTAACCCTTCCTCTATAACAGTCGATCGTGGCATGAAATGAAGCCAACCAATCCATCCCGAGAATGACATCAAAGCTAGTCATCTCCAGGAGGATAAGGTCAAACACGAAAGTCCGCCCGACTATCACAATGGGACACTCCCGCACAATTCGGCTCAAAGACACTGAAACCCCAACTGGCGTATCAATACTCAAC